CCCCCCCCGGCTTTTTGAGCAGAGTTTCAACATCTCAAAGAGTAAAATCCCCAGAATCCCCATCGTTTGTGTCTTAACCGTTCCCAGAAAGCCACCAGATACCAGAGTTTCCCACAATGCACCGCAACCGGAGCATCTCCCTGCTTTCCCACAATGCATTGCTGCAGCTCAGCCGCCACAGAAGCCAGACGTTATCTATCCACTGAAGATAAATAGCCCATAAAACAATAAGAATAAAGTAATAAATACCTGAACGGCAGCTTCTGGGCTAGAAAGATATCTCAACAAAGATTCACATTCCTCCATCTTGCTGGACCAAACCTTTTTCTTATTTTCTTGGCCAAACATGAGTTAACCTGACACACTGCTCGCTCATGGTGACCAAACCAGAATCTACACCAATGTGCAGACAGGGCTGTACCTCTTTGCACGTCTTTATCTCCAACCTACAAACTCCAGATCCAAGAAATCGTGAATTCTGGAAGCCCTATGTATCCATCCTGAGCTTTTCCATTTTTTTAGGGCCTTGCCTAATTTGAATAATTTATGAGCACGGTGAGGAAGGCGGGGCAATCTTCAGCCAGGCAGAAAAGGTTCTATGGAGAATAGAGTTTGGGCTGCAGTTTTCCAGGGCGTTGCATGTGTGAATATTCCAAACAGCCTTGAGGACTAGAAACTTATTTTTAGAGGCAGGGAAGGACGTTTTGCACGGAGCTGGCTTTTGCAGCGGCAGTCCCTAAATCAGATCCATATGTTTGGGGGAGCTAAGTTTAACTTTCCACCCATCCTTGAGCTGGTAGAGTTCTAGGAAACTTTAGTTAGAAAGGGCTGGAAAGTAAGACAGGCAGGAATCTTGCCAACCAATTAGCGCATTCATGAGAAATCTTAGCTACCGTGCCAAGAAGACAGGATAAACCACCTTTAAAACCCAATACAAACAACTTTAGCTGAGCAGACTTAACTCCAACCAAGGTTACTGTAAGGATTCATAAAATTGCGTTGCAGGCAGCTGGCAAGAGTTCAGGCAGGAAAACCCCCCAAACCTGCTTTGCCAACAGAGTTGCCAATTAAAAACAAACAAACCTGTTTTTAAAAAAAACAACACCACAGACCATAATCGACACGAACAAGGCTTCTGTGTCTTGAACGACCGGGAAGACATTCAGCTAGGAAAAGCGTTGCTCTGCTCGTTGAAGCAGGACGGACGGGCAGTAAAACATTACCCAAAAGGGGTCTGGGTTCAAGGGCACCAAAATGACTTTTTTGCAGGGTTCCCCCCCCCCGCTTCTGCTTCCTCAACCGGCCCATGTTGGTTCATAACAAGAGGGAGGAGGGGGGAAAGAAGGTCCAGCGTGCAATAAATGGGCCCACTTCTCCGTATGTGATTCCACGCCCGGCACGCTCTTGAGCCCGTCCAGCGCACATCCAGGCGGACCGCGTCACGCATCTCCTGCTTTCAATCAGAAAAGCAGGAGATGCCCAGAGGCCAACCCAGCCTCTGACCGCCGTTCGATTTTGGTCTCCCCGGGAGAATCTGTCCTCATCGCCGTGCCAGTCCCTGGGGAGAAGCTGGGCCCCAGCGCCTCTTTGGAAACCAGGATTTTTTTCCTGTGCTGAACGTTGGAACCAGATGTTTCCAGCACCTGCCGGGCTGACAGCAGGCTGAGAAAAATGAGGAAACAAAATTAAATGTTTGAATTGGCTAAGATGAATGGCGGGGGGGCCAGAGGGGAGAGAGAGAACAGGGCTGGCCTGGCTTCGGCTGCGGGTGAGCCGAAAGCGCCGGTGACGCGGTGGGCAGACCGGGGCAGACAGAAACGAATCTGATTTGTTTTCCTCATTGCGTGTGACTTGAGGCAAAAAGGTTGGCCTGCGCCATTAATCGCCCGAGGCCTAGAATCGTGAGATGTTAAAGCCGGGGGAACGTAGAGGTCATTTAGCCCAACCCCTTGCTGGACGCCAGCGCCGTAAAACCGCCATGCCTCTAACCGTCAGCTATGCAACCCTCCAGCTGCGTCGAAGGCGCAGAGGACCGGCCGCTGCACAGCAAATAAATTAAAATAAGGTTAGGGAGGCTTCCACCGGGAGAATCCCCGAGACGAGGCTCACCGAGTCAATCCGGAGCATTCGGAGGCTCCAAGCAGGACGGGGAGATCTCACAGAGAAAATGTGGAAAGATCTCTTTCTTGCACCCCCTTCATCGGTGCAGAAACCAGACCTGGTGGCTTTGCAAGTGATCCTCCGTCTGCCGCCCGCCCCACCCCACCCCTTTGCCCCATCCGGGCTGGTGGAACCGCAAAGAGCAAAGCCACAAATTAAGCTCGGCTTGATCCTGGTTAGAGTGACAAGGAAGCCGACGCAAAGGCTGGGGAATGGATTTCCATTGTCTGCCCCAAGAGTGTGGATTTTCACACCCGGCGGTTTCCTGATGAAGCGTTCCCGGTGAGGGTTTCGTCCAGAGGCACGGATGAGACGCCCAGAAAACCAAGACATGACCTTGTGGGTTTTGCATCGCTGGAGATGAATGGTTCGCAAATAATGTGGGTGTGCCTGTGTGCGCGGGGTGGGCTGTGTTCCCTTTCTTCATGTTTGCTGGTTCCCGCTACAAAGGGAGGGGGGCGAATCATGGCCCACCCCTCCCTGAGCTTCAGGCCCTTCAGCGTAGCAGCAGGACGTTAAAAAGATTTCCCCAGTGCTGGTCGGCCAGTGGAAATTTCAGGGATGTGAAAGGCGTTAAGTTTGGCGTTCCTCGTTTCTGCAAAGAACGTTTCTCTGCAAAACCATTTAAGACCAACAACTTTCTTCCTCCCTCTTCTCCTCTTTCTCCACCACCGTCTCCTCCTCCTCCTCCTCTTCCCCCATCATCTCCTCCTCCTCTTCCACCTCCTCCTCCTGTTGCCAGACCCACTGCTTCAGGGTACATATTTTATTCTTACAAAATGCAAGTTTGGGATTTACCTCCTCCCCGTCCAAACTCCCTTAACAGAACTGGTTCATCTCCAAAGTCAGACCTGGTGAGGGTTGGACTGGGGGACCAATGTCAGAGTTCGAGGGAGGCTGGCGAATGGGGAAAACCTCCCTCCAGAAGGCCACGGCAGGCCACCTTTGGGTTCACGGAAGACGGGACGCCACCTCCCTTCGCTTTTCCTACGGCGACCTCGCCCCTCCAAGGTAGACTGGGCCAGCCCCTGGAAGTTCTCCGGCTCACAGCCCGCTTCCCCAGACTTATGGATTTGTTTTCTTCTTGCAAGCCAGCCTTGGAGGAGCAAAACCACGAAGGGTTTGACCAAAGGGTGGGAAAGAAGACTTAAGCAAGGTCTGCAAGAGAAACCGAAGGGGAAAAAAGCTTCGGTCTTGTTTTGCAACCGGAAAACACCCCCCCCCCCGTCTTCGAGCAGTGTCAGGGAACGGCTTGGTGCAGAAAGGGCGTGCGTGGGTACAAGTACACAATTCACAATTAGATCCTTCCTCCCTTCCTTCCTTCCTTCCTTCCTTCCTTCCTTCCTTCCTTCCTTCCTTCCTTCCTTCCT